TCGTCAAAAGCGTTTGATACGCGCGTCATTTTGACTACTCCTGCATGGATGTTCATGAGCGACTGAAAACAAACGGCATAGCGATAAAAATTGCAAAAGAGACTACTAACAATCAATAAAAGGAAAATCATTCGGTGAAACATATACAGAGACAACAATTTTCATTCATGAAGACAAGTATTAAAGTGTCCCTGAAAATCCTTGTTTATCTTTTTCATTTTGTAAGCCGGCTTCCCGGTGTTTGCTTCAGCAAAGTAAACAAGTTTCAAGATGCTGCATAAGTTTTCCGCACGAACTCACCTGTCAAGTTTTGACCAATCAGAGCATAAAAATTGGACGTAGAGCGTGACCAACGCGTGACATTGGTGAGAAATGTCAAAAGCAACTGGCATGTCTTCCCTGGCTGTAAAAACTGGCTGAATTTTAGCTTCCGAGGTCAGTTTGAAATCAACATTTTAATTTTGCGGCACATACGAAACACAACAACTTTTTTTATATGAATTAACAAAAAGATAAACTTGAGCCTGCGATCATTTAAAAACTAGTAACTTGTCAGCGGATAACTTCAAAAAGATATTTGACCTCGATGGGTCGACACCTGAGCCCACGATACGGTCAGGTGATACTGGTCAGCGGATACCCTGTTTTGACAGCTGTCAATTGATCACAACATTGATGCGCAATATCAGTCTTCCTGTGCTCGCAAACTGGCTAGAAAGTGTGAGGATTAAACACTGGTTTGCCTGTGGTGCGGACGGACGGGCGGGCGGTGTACGGTCTCGTGATTACCAAATTTTCTGGGATGGGTAGATTTACTTACCCATGGTGCTCCGCAGGCGCGCTTCGCGCGCCAGAGCTCCGCTATTATGTTTTAATTTTTCCTGATGATATTTAATCATAGGTTTCCAGGTGTAACAACAGGGCTTACGTTCAAAATGTTTGATTTGTGATCAATAACGATTTCGCCTAAGCCAAATGCCTTTCACTGTTTCAGGCTTGATATAGTGGCTTCCAACGCGTCCGTAGCTGAAAGCTTTTTGAAACCAAGTCCTTCGCTGCGTTTATTACCATCCGATTTGAATTTCCTGTTTGTTACCAATTTCCCATGTAATTAAAGGGAGTTGGTGAGACACTTGACCTTCATTGGCTGAAGGCTTAAAAGAAGGGTGGAAAGAAATGTTCTTGACTACTTGGAAGGGTCTACATAATTTTTTCCACTCACGTTAACTTGCGTTCCCCATCACTTTTCTAATAATGCTTCTCTATCTCGGTCCCTTCTTGCCAGTTGCAATGGATTGCGCCATCACCTTTTGAGTGAGTTACCAGCAAGGTTGGTGCAGTGGTGAGAGCACTTGCTTCTTATTAATGTTGTCCGGGTTGAAATCCCGGTGTAGACGCCATATGTGATTGTGTTTGTTGTTGGTTCTTTCTTTTGCCCTGAGAGGTTTTTCTCCAGTTGCTACGGTTTTCCAATTCAAATTCAAATTTAATCAAGAATGGTAGACGAAGAATCATTGAACATAATGTGGATGCGTTTAACCATTAAATAGTTATTCATTTGTAATTATTCGGTTTTTTTTTACTAGACAGCCAAAGCAACTGAGAAATTTTCCGAGCTCATGACAATCAGTAAAGTAACTTTAATGACCTAATAACAGGTACTTTGTTACTACTTAGTACTGTGTTTACTTTATTGCGAGAGAGTCAACATCAGTGATGTGTACAGTACCACAGATGCGCAAAGAACAGATGAGGGCCAGAATGATTAACAGCATTCATGTAAAGCTTTTGCATTTGCCGGTAAAAAATTATTATTGTTCTCAAACTCAAGAACAGTAAAAAAAATGCACTTTTTTTCTTTTGCAGATGTCAGTGCAAGGAAGAATTTTCCTTGGATTAATTTTGGTGACAGTGAGGACAGTTGAAGGCAAGCAAAATTATGATTCGTTTGTATTTTTCTCTTGTAAGGTTTTTTCCTCCTTTGTTTTGTAGTCATAACAAGGCAGCTTGGGTCTAGAACAAAATAATTCATTAGAACTGAGGTGTTTGTATGGCCAATCACATTATTTTGAGTGCAGTTGATAATAAATGTGCACCAATAAATTTGTCGTTGACAAGCAAAATGCTGGGGATAAATTGACACGCTGTTAGCCAATTGAAATGCAGAGATTGTTGTTATACATTTATATATAACAACATTACTCCATGTGTGCTTATTTTCTTGTAACATGATGTACATCAGCCGCTACCATAATCTGTCTGGGAAATCTATCAAACAAAAACCATATTTCATTTTATAAGATCTTCACGTATTACCAACCTTTTTTATTGTTTCCTTCAAAAAGTTGTAAGATAATCTAGGACGGGTTACTCCGTCCATTCAGATAGGTTCAATTACTAAATAGCGAGTCCTTCCTTGCTAGCGTACCTTTCAGAACCTTGCCGTAAACCAAACAAGCTTCTTAATTAAGCACAATTGAATCAATCCAAAACTTCATTAATCATTTAAATAATAGTTACTTAATTCCCCTTATTCTAGAAACACAACGTCGACAAATGTTATGCTTTCAACTATAACTATGAGCGGAGAGTTTGTTCTCAACGGTTGCGTTTGTTTGCCTCTTTGTGAGTCTCTATGTTTGTCAACCAATCAAAATGCAACTGATTTCCTTTTTTTTCTGCATTGGTTTACCTCTTTACCAATGGCGCTACTTTTTAAAGAACTGATACTCAGACAAACAAAATGAAATAGTTATTAACGAATTCCTCTCGTTTGTTTGGCTTTTGTCATAAACATATTTTTTTTTTACTCATTAAAATAACAAAAGTGACAAAAGTCAAAAAAATGTTGCAAATTAGTTAAGCGATCTGTTTATCATGAATGATCACTATTAATAGAGCCGGTACGTTTACAAAAAAATACCTAAATACACGATCGATCATGACATGACTTTATTGCAAATCATCATCAGCCGATATAATATCCCAAAAAAATCAATTCTCATCTGATGCTACGGAACCGAAGACAATTTTCATTTGTAAAAAGATTTTGAGCGTCCCAAGTTAGCCTGTCAAGGGAGTATAAAATTTGTGGGATTTTTAACATTGATTTTCGCACATTTATTTGCAGTTGTTCAACCGTGTTTGTTTTCTGTTAATGGCTCCAGTGGGTTCATCAGCTCCAGTGTACATGGAGTCCGTTGTACATGGATCATCACTGTACCATCTAACCACACCGTCAAACTGAAATTTACGATATTTCGTCTACCTCATGATCCCTGGTGGGGTCAAGCTAAGATCCAGGTCCATGACGGAAAAGGGAAAAGTGATACTGTACTGGGAATTTTTTCAGGGGCAAGACTGCCCTTCATCATACAAACAAGTGGTCGGTTCATGATGTTTACTTTACAAAACTCGTATATGGTCACCCCCCGTAACTTTAAGGGAACTTTTATAGGTTCAAGAAAAGGTAAGCGAAAGTAATTAGATATTAATAAGAGAATGAGAACCGCCTAAAAATGCTAATTAGCTCATGATACTCTCGGACGTCGCAACTGATGTGGAATAACTGAATGCGTCTCAAAAGCGATGACAATTTTTCATACCTTCAAGTAAATTAATAAATTAAAATTATATTAAAAATGTTCTTCTGATTGTGACAATTAAAGCCTGTCACCGTTCAATACTGCATAAAGAGGAAAGCTTAACGAAAGAAAAACTGTAAAACAGAGGAATATTTTACAGAGCAGTCATCGATAAAGATAAATAAATAAATTTTACACTCTAAGGAAACATTTAAAAGAATACTTTGGTAACGAAGTTTTCTTTCAAATTTTGAAACTACTCCTTTAACATAATTATTTCCTTTTACTTTTCCCGGTAGCTCAATTTAAATCAAGTGATAAAGATGTAATGTAGCTTGTTATTTATTGACATAAGCAAAGCTATGTAACGATACGCACGCGTACAGAACCGTAAGTATTCTCGATTCAAAAATTATACTCAACGTGGAATGTGGTGGAGTGCAGAATGACGAAAACACGGAAATGGCGAGGGCTACATAGTAACGTAGACCTTACAAATCAAAAAAGTTTTGTTTTATTTTTTCCCAAGAAAAAAATTAAAGAAAAACGATTAAGATGTTATTCCCTCTTGATCAGTAACACTTAATCCTTCCTCTGATGGTCTCGTTAAAATTGAATGAATGAAAGAAAAATTGAATGCGAGAAATGTAGCGTAAATGTAGTACACCAAGGAAACCTTTGCTTTTCAGAAATAACCAACTGTGACCAAAACAACAAAAATACATAATTCCATTCAACTACTGGCCCCGCGGCCTTACTTGAAGGTGCTTTCACAGTTCATACATCAAAGCATTGACTCCAGAAAACGTTGTCATGTAAACAAACCCCTAGCCTGAAGTGCACATTTGCTGTCAAAAACTTTCTGGGAAGTTGTAGGAGTAAAATTTTATAGTACCGTTAGATCAAACTTCAAGAAAACTGACCGTTTATTGGTATATGATGTTAAACTTAGTTTAAATGCGCAAAGATTTGATGACGCGATTCAAATCAAGTATGTGATATCATAAATGCAGCTCCCCTGTATTCTTTCTATCAGTCCTTACTGACTATCAGTTGATTTTTTCCCGAGTTTGTAAAGTGGGACGTTTTACAACAATGTGAGATAGTATTGAAACGCTTAAATTTCAAAAGGATGGCCTGAAACGATAACACCAGGCATGTCTGACTTACGGAAAACCAATTTCAGTTACAGTGTAAATTAAAAGTATACCCTTACTTATCTCAAACGTCGAACTCACGAATACCCTCCAATCTAGCTACTAAAATTCTTGAATATCGTTTAGCGTGATGTTCTACAAGAGAGTAATAACTTATCTTTTGGGAGTCTTATTAGACTTAATCAACTCTAATTTAATTAACTTGCAACCTGATATGACTTGAAATCGGGACATCTTAAAACCTGCTAAATTTTCTTTTTCAGAAAAGCCGAGGATTAGGGTACCGTTGAAGGAGTTGCGAACTGTACCAGAGCATTATCTCTGGTTTCTGCTGGAAGGTACCCCACCGATTAACTTGACTCTAATGAATACATCAACATCTTTGAAGGGCGGTTTGGTCATAAAAGGATTCCAACTAAATCGGACGGGTACCTACCAATACACTCTACTGGCAGAAAATGAAGAAGGAAGTGATTCAAAAACGGTTGAAGTAACCGTTGTGGGTAAGGATTCAATACTGTTAAATTTCTTTTCAATGTAGATAATTTTAATTAATAATTGTTAAAACAATTATAGTAGTTTGCACAAACACTGGTGTTGGATTTTGTTCTCATTTTATTCGTTGGTGATTCGCTTCCATTCGGTGAAAAAAGAAATGCAAGAATATTTAGACTAGTTGCCCTTGTACATGTTTCGCCATTATTTTGAACACGGGTAATTTGTGTCCATTAAGGTTTGTAAACAAAAAAAGATTTACCAAAATATAGAAAATTTGGGTTTTATCCTTGGTCAATGAGCACACATGAAAACTGGTTATTGACTTTTAATAATGCATATCGACGTGTATCGCTCTCTTGAAAAATTCCCCTACAAATTGCCTCATTCAAGCGTCTATTCCTTTTGCAGATTGCAAGCATTTGTGTCACAGTACAGGTTCGATTACACGTTTTGGCCAATTAACCAACGAACACGACTGTAGAAGAAGCAACATAACAAATAACTGGAATTGCATTCCAACTACAGCCACTAAATTGTAAGTGTATTTTCTACTTTACCTTAAATTAATTGGCCTATTGTTTTCTTATTTTACAACTTTGGACCCCTATTTACGTTTTGTTAGACTATCAAATGCTCCAAAATGATCCCAAAAGAAATTAAATATTTTCTCACTACTACTATTTTTATTTTAACGAGAAAAGAACGTAGCTTTCTAGTTATGAGCGCTTTTGAAACTGACGATCAACCTGGGACTTTAATTAATTTCAAATGAGCGCGTATAGAATGCGAAACTTGCCCTTTCATTCACAATGTAACTGAGAAATTTTTACGCATTCATCTTCTTAAACGTTATCTAAAGCTGTGGCACGCTATTGAATAAGATGCACATGGGTCAATCAGTGAGATTACAGGGCGACAAATGTGGAATTCATCAAAACCTGATGCTAGCTCTTTCAACCTTCCGTATTGTTCTGATTGTTCAAGCCACCGTGAACACATTCAAGGTTTTTTTTTACACCAAGGAATCACAGAGCTTTGTAAAACCTTCGTCTTTTAAATCGCGGGCGCTCAAATTCTCCACCAAATCAATAATAAACGCCGTTCTATCGACTAATTTATTTATTTATTTTTACACTTTGTCATGTTCGCGGCCTCCAATATCGTTGCCTTTACACACCCACATGCAAACACATTCTCGAATCCCTTGATTCGATCAAACGAAGGGCTTGCGCTCAAAACGTCTGCTTTTCAATACTTTTACGGTTCTAAAACTGACTTAAGGCCATGTGGAACAACTATCTATGAGGCAAATTTTGCTTGTGCTTCATCTTTCAAAACGCTTATATGTCGGCTCTCTTAGAGGCGATTTAGATGTGATTTTGCAGAGACGTTATGAAATGATGGAAGTTTAGGAGAAATGTTTCTTTTTTCGGTAGATCGCTAGATCGCGCTTTACAGCGATTGAAAGTCACAGTTGTCCAAACTAGGAAATCGTGATTTTATGTCCAAGTTTGCCGAAAGAATAGAATACAGCACTGTATGATTTTATTAGTAGATGACCTGTCTAAAACTCTAGTGTGTCATGTATTGGCCATATTTTGCAATACACAGTTTGTCAGCAAGATATAGTCTTTTAAATGGGCAAAAACTTTCATCCCTGAAATTATAATTAACGCTCTATTATCTTTTTTATTTAAGCGCTCTTTCAAAATTCCGCCCAATACACACAACACACTACATGCAGTCTACCAAGTTTACCCCTTTGAATTGCGAGTTCGTGAAGATTTGTATACGTATCTGTGTTGAATTCTTGGACACAAAATTGTCCGAAAATTAAGAATTTGTTCATGCTTAGCGTGCGTATATCGAGTTATGGATGCACGCGGGAAGTTTGGAGAACACGAAAGATGCGTAAGAGTTGCACGAGGCGATAGCCGAGTGCAACTCTAGCTTCTTGAGTGCTCTCCAAACTTCCCAAGTGCATCCATAACTCGATATACGCACTGCTAAAGGCATGAGCAAATTCTTTTATAACATAGCTGACAAAAATGCTTGCTTTTTCATGAACTGCAAAATTCTCGTAACGCGCTACACATTAACAAACGGTTCTATTGGGTGATTACGAACACGCCACAATCGTCTAGTTTGAATGAAAATATTCTTTCTGTAAAACTGAGAAAGAAAATTTGCTTCTTTATTCGTTAACGATCAATGGAAACTAAGCAGAAACAAAGGTAAAAGAGTCTTAAAAGTTCTCCTAAAGTTAAAATACTGTTAGTAAGAAGTCGTGGAGTATGGTTTGGATTTGCTGAAAAGATGTTTACGTTTTGCTCGGCGAAATCCAGAAAACATGTCTTTGCGAAGACGACTGTCATCCTTCTTTAAACTCATATTCATTTACGAACATGGGCTGCTCATTACGGCTTCTTGAGAAGACCTGGCAGCAGTTGTTTTTGTGAGTAATAAATTTATGTCTTCTTGTGTAATTTGTGTTGTTATTGCGAGAGAAATTTTCCTGCTTCAGTCGGATTGTCCGGAGATAACAAAAGTGCATAACAAATTTAAAAACAACAATAAAAGCGGAAATTTTACCTTTAAATGTTTTTGATGACCAGTTCGTGTCTGTTCTGTTCCCAGTGAATGTCTTTCGGCCAAAATTTGCTGCAGCTGGTCTTCCGACAAATTGCGAAACGCGCAACTTGCGAGTTTTTTTTAATTCGACTTTATTCTTGCTGCTTGTTGGATCAGGACCTAAAAGGTCAATGCCGATAGAAAAATTGGGCACTTCTTCGCTGGTTTCTTCCATATTTTAAAGAGAAGGAAAACTGCACTGCAACTTAAAAGACGACAACTTTGCAGCCAGGTAAAAAAAGAATGCTTACGTCATCTTATTTACGCACGGGCGTGCGTAAATAAAGATTTTGTTCATAGCGGCTCAATAGGACTTATATAGGGCAAGCACGCGCGCTATGTTATAATTCTAATTTTGACACTCCCGTAGGTGTCCTGACAAAAGTACGACTACTAAGCATGATATGTAATTTTGGTAATTATATGGTTTCACATTCTGCGTTTTAATATATTTTGGTTTTTGCGGTGAATGTTTTCGAGGATTTTTTTAGGCGAAAAAAAAAGTCGTACAGATAGTTTTGGTATTAAATTTGGTTGCAATTTCTAAAAGGTTCCCTCATTTTTTATTTCCGTATTATTGAAAATCACACAGAAACAAAGTTTGATTCAGATACCGTTTGTTACTTTTGAATAAACATTTTGTTCGCAGTCTGCGTGTTACTCGTTCACGTGAACATCTTAAATTATGCGCTTATCTTTTTTCCAGTTATGAATGTCTCGTAAACCTGTCGATACCAGTCGTTTTACTGCGTGCATACACTTAAAGTAAATGCATAAAAATGAGCCCACAGGGTCCCCCTATAATGATTTTAATAATCATCACCATCATTATCATTATCATCATTATTATTATCATCATTATTGTTATTATTATTATTATTATTATTATTATTATTATTATTACTATCGTCGTTGTCATTAAAATACAATTATATCCTCTATCTACTAAAATAACTCGAATTGGTAAAAAGGTAGTTTGCCAAAATTGAACATCTCGGATTGTTTTATTTTGTTGGTTCTTTAATTTATTCGCGTAAGATCCATGTGGTATTTACATTGGCAAGCAGTTAATCAATTCAGGTCTTCGATGGAATATTTTTTGCTCGGGCCGTTTGCATGATGCGGTTGACTTTCTTCACTTTAACTTTGCTGCAGGGATTTATCTTCAAGCAAGATCGAGAAGCTCCCGCCAGGAATATTCGCGAATCTTTCTTTCATGGAAAAGCTGTAAGATAACCCGTGTTTCTTTAATTTTATTATTTGAGGATAGGATAGTATACAGCTATCCCCCGGAAGGGCAGGTTACAGTGGTGGATGACGGAAGGCGTCCCTTAGGGGGATCGTTGTTTACATATTTAACGAATCAGTTAATTTTGTAAATATTAGACATTACTTAGTATTAAGTGCGTTATTTTCGTTTTAATTGACAGTGGTTCCGGGGATCTCTTTGCTGCAAATTCTACCAGAAAATGATTTTCTACCTAAAAGTAGAAAGGGACATAAGCCAAACTTGTCTCTTTCTTGTACTTGTTAGTAAAACTGCTTTATTTGCGGCTAAAATTTCTTCTTCGGAAAATGTGGCAAAAAAAGACGGCCGTAGCATTAATATTTCTTAGGGTTAATTGGCGTGCATGAAATTTTTTCATTTACTTTTCCCTTGTGCGAATATTTTGTTTGTACTTCGCCCCCCCCCCATAAGTTTTCTAATGGTCCGTCCCTTAAAACAGGTACCTCAAAACAGGTACGGTACTTGTTTGGTACATATCAAGTTTCTTATACTCAAATGTCACTCTCCTGGATATTAGGATCGAGACTTTTGATGGCAGCCTGATAAGACAATGGGAGGTTAATTCTATTCACTAACTGTTTTTTTCCGTAGTTTGTCAGTTACTCTCCGGTCCAAGCACATTTTGGCTACATTTTGTGACAATGATGTGGCGAGAAGTCATTACTTTCTAAACACAAATTGCAATACGCTTTTGTTTTATTTTTTTGTAATAATACTAGTTTCGCTAAGACAAACTCCATGAGTCGGGCACGAAAAATATCGACTAGCTCTTTTCCACGAAGCAAAATTTTTAAGAACCGTTTAGGGGATTCTCACAGACCCCCGTATAGACACCAGCTATGTTTATTCTGTAGAGTTAAATAAGCAGCCAGTTGAAAGGGAAACCGTTCTTTCGGGAAGTCAATTCAGGTAATAAACGGCAAGATAGGGAAGGTAATAACATTTTTTCAATGTGCAAAATTTCGTTTAACCTCGTTTTAGGGGTATTCCTTTGGTTGAATGCGTCATGCTCATACATACGTAGATGCATGTACATGATGCGTTTCGATAAGAATTAGGAATGCCATTATCTCTCAAAGGAATATAATTTAAAGTTATTAAGACATTTGCTATATGCACATAAGTGACATATAAATATCAGTCTTTTAACACGCTGAGTGCTACTGATATACATCGATTTAAAATAGTTAGATTAGGAGGCTTCTTGTTTCCATGGTGTTAGAGGGAAGAGAAGTAGATGTAGCCACTTTCTACACAAAAAGTTTCATCGTCTCCCCTTAAGTAGTTGCAGATGCAGGTGCACAGAGGAGCACTAGCAAAGTCCCATGGGTAAGAAATCTTGCTAACCCATCAGTAAAAGAGACTTAGGTTTGTGACTTCAAAGTACGTACACACTTTCGTGAAGACCTTTGGGAGGGGTAGAGAAGTCTTGACGGGCTTTGGAAACTTTACTAAGTGGCAAACCGCATGGCTTAAACGTCGTTTTGGGAAACCCGCGTTTTTTATGGTGGGAAGTTGCATTATTTGACAATTGTCGCTTTGAAAATGAGATTTAAGCTCAAAGCCATTGAGCGATACAATGTTTGGACAGGCCTTGAGTTTTAATCTTGAGAAAAACAAAACACACCGGCGAAGACTTAGTTTTGATAGAAACTTCAGTGCCATTCATATGCAAGTGCATGATTCAGGGGCACCCAACGAGAATATAGTTCAAAAACACTTAAACATAGCATGGTTAAACGTATTTTAGTATTTAAACGGTAGGTATAGGCATATTTTTATCCCCTAAAAATTTTTCATCTGTTCGGATTTCCTAGCTGAAAGTCTAGTGATCCGAAAATTATAGGGATCAAAACTTACCTTTTCGAAAATTTCAGCCAGAAAAAAGGCTTCCGAAAATTCTAGGTGACCTTTTTAGGGTAAAAATCCGTTAAAAATAGGCAAATGTACCATTTTTTGGATGTTCGAAAATCCTAGGAGAGGCAGGCAAGCAAGAAATTTTACAACAAATGTTTCGAAAATTCTAGACCTCAAATCGTCTTCCGAACAGATATTCGTCCGAAAATTGTCGTTGGGTGCCCCTGATGATTTTTATCTTTAAAGATGTAAGATCTCTATTGAAACTCCAGCCTCGCTTTCACTTAAGGCTAGGCTACTCAGTGCACAACTGAAAAATAGTCTGTTGAAGAGCGGCCGAGAGTATGAATCAAGGCGGAAGGGCTGGCACAGAAAATAGTCAAGGAAAGCTGCTCAACAGCTAGAGAAAAAAAAAAGTTTAATCATCCTTCCAGCTTCAATAGTTCTTGCAGACGTGACGGTTAACATGTTGTCACGCTTACGACCAGACTTTTTAAGATTTTAACACGAGAACAATGTGTCGGATTAATGCAATCGCTACAACTACCGGTGAAGGAAGAGTTTTTTGCTCTCTTAAGTACCTGTCTACAAACCCTTGTCAGTTAGAATAAACGAAATGTTGATGCCTTCAAGGTTTTTGATGTAGCTTTTTTTTGTATCACGAGAGTGAGTTAGTCAATATCACCATCTTGGATATTTTCACAAAAAGTTTTATCACACA